GGGGGGGTGTTAAGGTGAAGGCGGTGGGAGGCGTGTCACTCCCACTAAGGTCTCCTCAAAGCACGGCGGGCCAGCAGGAGGCCTCTCTCAGGAGCAGCGAGCCCAGCAGGAGCAGCGTCAGCAGCCAGCGGGGGGAGGGGGGCGTCAGGGGGCCCTGGCCCGACTCGGAGCCTCGGCAGCCCCCCAGCTCCGTCTCGCAGCGGGGCTTCTCGCACAGCAGGCCCGTGTAGGCCGAGGGACAGCTGCAGCGCGCYTTGTTTTCACACTCCCCGCCGTTCTGACAGCGCAGCAGCTCGTTGTCACAAACCCGAGCTGCAGAGGGAGGAAGGTTCAGAGAGGAGACAAGGTTTAAACAGGCTGAGGCTCATGGAGAAGAAAACACAAAGTTTTATGTAAATATAACATTTTAAATACATTATAATCAGGGTTGGGCAAAATCATGTGGCGTGCAATTGATCGATTAATATTTAGTGATTAATACAATCAATAAATTATACAAGTCATTGAAGTGCCAAGCTAATAGTTACGTTAATGCACAGCTAATGCTAACAAGGAGCTAACACAAAGCTAACACTAATGTGGAGTCAACACTAAAGCAGAGCTAACACTAAGATGGCGCTAAAGTTAATGCTAATCCAAAGTTACCACTAAAGCAGAGCTAAGGTTAATGGTTGGCTAACACTAGCATGGAGGTAATGATGATGCTAATGCAAAGCTAACACTATAGAAGAGCTAACAATAACGTGGAGCCAATACTGACATGGAACTAACACTAATGCCTAAGTGGAGCTAAAAGTAACAATAAGCTAAAGCTACTGATGATACAAAGCTAACTCCAATGCAGAGCTGAGGCTAATGGGAAGCTAACACTAACATGGAGCTAACACCAATGCTAATGCTGAGCTAACACTGATGAGGAGCTAATGCTAATGTGGTACCAAGGATCATGCAGAGCTAACACTAACACAAAGCTAATGTCAATGTYGAGCTAACACTAATACGGAGCCAAAGCTAATGCTTATCCAAAGCTAGCACTAATGTAAGCTAAGGGAAGCTAACACTAGCATGGAAATAATGGTGATGCTAATGCAAAGCTTACACAATAGCAGAGCTAATACTAATGCCAAGCTAATGCAAAAATGGAGCTAGCACTGACACAGAGCTAAAACTACTGCTGATAAAAGCTAACACCAACACAGAGCTGAGGCTAATAAGAAGCTAACACTAACATGGATCTAACACCAATGCTAATGTGGAACTAACACTGACGAGGAGCTAATGCTGATGTGGAGCCAACGCCAATGCAGAGCTAATGCAAAAATGGAGCTAAAACTATTGCAGAGCTAACACTAACATAAACCTAATGTCAATGTGGGGGTAACACTAATACAGATCTAAAGCTAATGCTTACCCAAAGCTAGCACTAATGAAGAGCTATGGCTAAGGGGAAGCTAACCCTAACATGGAGCTAACAATAGAGCTAACACTGATGCAAAGTTAATGCTAATGTAGAGCTAAGACTATAGCAGAGGTAACACTAAAGCAAAGCTCATGCGAAAAATGGAGCTAAAACTAATGCAGAGCTAACACGAAGCTAACGCTAATGTTGACACAAAGATAACATGAATGTGGAGCTAATGTTAATGCTAATGGGAAGCTACTGCTATTGTGGAGTTAATGCTAAAGTGAAGCTAATAAAGCTAAAACTAACACAGCGCTAACACTAACAGCACTACAGCTCAGTAGTTCACATCAATACCTCACAGCAAGAAGGTCCTGGGTTTAATCCACAGTTTGGACCTGGGGTCTTTCTGTGTGGCGTGTACATGTTCTCCATGTTTGCAGGGTTTTCTCCAAGTACTCTAGTTTCTCCCACAGGACAAAAACAAAAGATCTGTGGTCTCGATGGGAGGTTATTAAATAAATAACACGGAGCTAACACTACTACTAATGCAAAGATAACATTAACGCAGAGCTAACCTTATGCTAACGGGGAGCTAACACTAGCATGGAGCTGACAATAATGCAGAGCTATCATTACCACAGAGGTATCATGAAGCTAACGCTAACATGAACTTGTTTAATCACCTGAAACATCAACATAAATCTACGGAGCCCGCGAGGGGACATAGCAGATTTTTTTCTTTTACGTTCCCTCGCAAAAGTCATTTATCATTGTTGTGTCTGCCGGTTTATTAACCAAGTCAAGTTCACCATTAGCGAGTTAGCCTACAGCTTTAATTCAGCTTTAGATGAATATATCACACAGCCATGCATGGAAGTATGTCATATGCTGATATTTGAAGACAACGCAGCCACGCAACATCAAAGTCAATTTCACAAACTTGTGGTGACACATCCTGTTTTTGGTAACCTGATATTTCAAAATAAAAGTCTGATTTAATTCAGTTCATATACAAAACAAACTTTTGCGTGGGAACGCAAAATGATTTTGCGAGGGAATGCAAACGTTTTCGAGGTAACGCAAAACTATTGCGAGGTAACGCAATAGTTTTGCATGGGAACGCAAAAGAAAAAAAAATCTCCCCATGTCCCCTCGTGGGCTCTTTATGAACCAGTAGCTCCGGTCCTCGGAACCGCCTTTAAGACAACGCCAATAAACTGTCGTGGACACGTTTATCAAGAATGCAGAAACACGTTGGAATAAATGCACAGAAAATCTGCGTGTATGGTCGTGAATTATTTAATTCTGGGCGACAACAAACAGAAAACAAATCAAGGAAGTCTGTTGAATTGTGGCCACCGTCAGCAGACAGCAAACCAATGATATAACCTCATGTTAACACCATGTGACAGTTTACAACCAATCACAATCCGACTAATCTTACTATCAGCCAATGACAGGCTCTCAGCTCAAAGAGTTAACATATCGAACAAGAGAGGTCAGTCCGATGCTGGAGCCCTGACGTCTGGAAACAAACAGATTACGAGCCGAAATAAGTTATCATAAGATATGAGTAATGGACAGTGTCAAGGTGAAACAGATATAAATAATTAGTCCATGACAGTCATCTATTAATCGTCATAATCATAGTTATTGGCTAAATGCAACGATTAATTGTGATAAATTTTTGCGCCGATTACGCCCAATCCTAATTATAAGATACAAACAATTAGTTGCATTTCTCCTGCAGACAGATGAGACTCGTAATAAATCTAAAAACAAGCTCAGCTGAACTGATTTAAGGTTCTGTGGACAGGTGATAAATATCTTTAGGAGGAAGCTCAGTGGGCTGTCAGCAGGGAAACGTATCTGAATGACCCGAAACACTCGAATGAAGAGGATATGATAACATGTAATGTCTGAATATGGTGGTGTTCATGTAGGACTGAAAATATTAATAAAACTGCACTCATGACCTGAAGCTGATCTGTGCACTTTTATGTTGGCGTTATTTTTTAAATACTAATATGTAATAATAGGTTTATCTAAATGTATACAGAACTAATGAAATCCGTTAATTACTTTTTTATTTCATTTCTGTTCTCTGCTGTTTATCAGATGTTGCTGCAGCCTCAAAATTGTGAATAATCAATCAATATTCTTTTTGCTGTTTCACTAAATTTTGACTGTCGACACATTTCAGGTCTTATTTTTTTGTTTCCACGGCTTGTAAACCRGTATTTTTTATCGAACCAGCCTCAGCTCGCTTTCTGCCCAACTTGGCAGCCAAACCCCGCTTTTATGATTTAATCCACCTGACCAGGTTAAAATATTATTTATCAGCCTGGTTTTTAAAACGAACAGGTTTTCTGTCACTTGAGATGGGTTGGAAACAATGACAACAATAGCAAAGGCAATAGCATTAATGCTGCTAACACTGCTAAGGCTGCTAACACCACTAATGCTACTAATGTTGCTAATGCTGCTAACACTGTTAACGCTGCAAACACTGCTAATATTGCTTAAATTTCTTAGGCTGCTAACATTTTTAAAGCTGCTAACATTGTTAAAGTTGCTACCATTGTTAAAGCTGCTAACATTTTTAAAGCTGCTAACATTGCTAATGCTGCTAACATTTTTAAAGCTGCTCACACTGCTAATGCTACTAATGTTGCTAA